CTCGCCAACTTAGGCTAAGTCAATATAAGACCAATTTATTTAAATTAGTAAAACTTTCTCCTATAGATAATGCCTATATAAGCAAGCAGCATTCCCACTCTGCTCCTAACTCAATATAATGTCCAAACTAATTGTCATTTTTTGAGTTTTCCTTTATTGAGAAGTTAAACAACAACATAAATATCAGCCTCAGCTTCCCCCAAGCATGGCCATGCCTAGGATTTCTCACTGTAAACCACACTGGCACTCCCCCAAGTCCCCTTTTTACCTAAGAAAGAGACTCATCTCGTTTATATTCTGAGTTAGAGCTAGTGGGACCTATCTGGCTTGTCTGACAGGATCAGACAAATAGTTCTACAAGTCCATGGGGCCGGATGCACTGCATCCGAGGGTGCTAAAAGAGTTGGCGGGTGTGATTGCAGAATCATTGGCCATTATCTTTGAAAACTCATGGCAAGCAGGGGAGGTCCTGGATGACTGGAAAAAGACTAATGTAGTGCCCATCTTTAAAAAAGGGAAGAAGGAGGATCCGAGGAACTACAGACCAGGGAGCCTCACCTCAGTCCTTGGAAAAATAATGGAGCAGGTCCTCAAGGAATCAATTTTTAAGGAAAGTGATCAGGAACAGTCAGCATGGATTCACCAAGGGCAAGTCATGCCTGACTAACCTCATTGCCTTCGATGATGAGATAACTGGCTCTGTGGATGAGGGGAAAGCAGTGGATGTGTTATTCCTTGACTTTAGCAAAGCTTTTGATACGGTCTCCCACAGTATTCTTGCCAGCAAGTTAAAGAAGTATGGCCTGGATGAATGGACTATAAGGTGGATAGAAAACTGGCTAGATCATCGGACTCAACGGGTAGTGATCAATGGCTCCATGTCTAGTTGGCAGCTGGTATCAAGCGGAGTGCCTTAAGGGTCGGTCCTGGGGCTGGTTTTGTTCACTATCTTCATTAATGATCTGGAGGATGGCATGGATTGCACCCTCAGCAAGTTTGCAGATGACACTAAACTGGGAGGAGTGGTAGATACGCTGGAGGGTAGGGATAGGATACAGAGGGACCTAGACAAATTAGAGGATTGGGCCAAAAGAAATCTTATGAGGTTCAACAAGGACAAGTGCAGAGTCCTGCACTTAGGACGGAAGAATCCCATGCACTGCTACAGACTAGGGACTGAGTGGCTAGGCAGCAGTTCTGCAGAAAAGGACCTAGGGGTTACAGTGGACAAGAAGCTGGATATGAGTTGACAGTGTGCCCTTGTTGCTAAGAAGGCTAACGTTATTTTGTGCTGTATAAGTAGGAGCTTTGCCAGCAGATTGAGGGACATGATCATTCCCCTCTATTCGGCATTGGTGAGGCCTCATCTGGAGTACTGTGTCCAGTTTTTGGCCCCACACTAAAGAAGGATGTGAAAAAATTGGGAAGAGTCCAGCAGAGGGCAACAAAAATGATTAGGGGGCTGGAGCACATGATTTATGAGGTGAGGCTAAGGGAACTGGGATTATTTAGTCTGCAGAAGAGAAGAATGAGGGGGGATTTGATAGCTGCTTTCAACTACCTGAAAGGAGGTTCCAAAGAGGATGGATCTAGACTGTTCACAGTGGTAGCAGATGACAGAACAAGGAGTAATGGTCTCAAGTTGCAGTGGGAGAGATTTAGGTTGGATATTAGGAAAAACTTTTATACTAGGAGGGTGATGAAGCACTGGAATGGGTTACCTAGAGAGGTGGTGGAATCTCCTTCCTTAGAGGTTTTTAATGTCAGGCTTGACAAAGCCCTGGCTGGGATGATTTAGTTGGGGATTGGTCCTGCTTTGAGTAGGGGGGTTTGACTAGGTGACCTCCTGAGGTCCCTTCCAACCCTGATATTCTATGATCTTTATGCATAGTCCTTAAAAGTGACATTGTTTCAAAGATTCTCCTTTCTACTGTAACCATTTCTTAAGGAAAGCAACCAAGTATAAATGGCATTGCTTTCTAACTTTAAAATTTGCACCAAGAAAAACATTTCAAAATAAGACTTGCTTTGAATATCAAATATTTCTATCTGGAAAATAAGAGATTTAAGAATGTATAGCCCTGCAAAACCCAAACTTGCTTTTTCACTGTATAAACTACAAAAAAATCTTTCCAATTCATGCATTCAAAGATATATTTTGGTTTGTTATTTTTAAAAAAGTCGTCATTCATTTAATGCATATTCAGTAAAATCCAGTCAGGTAAGGAAATGAAGCTATTTTTCTTGTGGTTTTCAAATTCCACATATAATAAAACCTCCAACCCCTTGTCTGTTGTAATCATCACACAGAGTAAATCTGTAGAAGTTTAGAAGCTGAGACAGCCTCTGGAAAAAACAGACAAGAAATTAATCTGAAAGAGAAATTCAAGAGTAAAGACATTGATTCCTACATCGTAGGAATTAGCAAGGCTCGTAACTTCAAAAAGACTTCAGAGCTTTTCTTTTCATGTAAACGTTCATCATGACACAACAGCTCTGAGTTTGACACACAATGAAAATCATTTGAGAGACCTTTTATGTCTGTTATGGTATGTGAAGGTTGAATTCTTTGACTGCCCATCATTAGTCATAAATAGATGTTCAAGCAGATTAACACAAAAGAAAAGTTATGCCTATTTATAGATCCATAGGAAATTCAGAGTGTTCTGCAACCACTGTTTCTAATACACTTCACATAGTCTTTTCTCACATAAAAGGTAAAAAAGTTGAAATGAAAGATCTGAAACTTTATCTCATATAAAAACTGGTTGGGAGGAAAGCCTTTCAGACCTCCTCAGATAATGAAAGCGAGGCAACCTCAGAAATAAAGACCGGCTTTTGTAATGCAAATGAGGTAGCCTCACGCCATGTCTACACTACAAACTTTGGTTGATGCAAGTTACTTCATCTTCTACCACCAAAGTTTGTATATTGCTCAGGCATATGCACACTTGGCTGCTTGTATCAGTGCTGTGTACAATCACATGGAGTGCTCGTGTCAATGCAAAGTGCAGTATACCATAAGTAAATATTCCAAGTGCCACCTGCCACCATCCAGTGCAATGCCTTTGGGGAAATTTTCACCTCTTGTGGAGTAGAAATGACTCATCCAGGATTTCTGAGACCCTGCGTGGTCAAGTGCACAGCACGCAACTTTCTCCATCCCTTAATGCCATCTATATGCCATAATTTTCATGCTTTTAAAAAAAATCCCACAAACTCGTGTGGCACTTGTCACTGTCCACCATCTCTGACAGACACATGGAGCCTGCAGAGCTCTGCACTATTCTCATGAACAGTGCACATACAGGACACATGATTATTCTGTACTAGCAGACCCACAGGAAGTACCACAACAATGGGGGACTTGATGGTTTCTTCTAGGACAGTTTGTTAAAGGACATAGCAAAAAATAATTCAAAGTTGTTGGTGATGTTCATGGAGCAGCTGCAAGTGATGGAACACTGCTTCTGGGCCTGAGAAACGAGCACTGACTGCTGGGATCACATCATAATGCAGGTTTGGGATGATGAGCAGAGGCTGCAGAACTTTCAGATGCGAAAGGTCACATTCCTGGATCTGTGTGATGAGCTTACCCTAGCTCTCCAGCACAAGGACACCAGAATTAGAGTTGCATTGACAGTGGAGAAGAGACTGATGATCACACTGTGGAAACTTGCAATTCCAGACTGCTACTGGTCAGTGGGAAATCTACAGTGGGGACTATTGTCAAGAAAGTGTGTAGAGCCATGAATCATTTCCTGCTACAAACGACTGTGACTCTCGGCAACGTGCAGGACATAGTGGATGGTTTTGCAGCAATGGGGTTCCCAAACTGCTGTGGGGCATTAGACAGCATGCATATTCCTATTTTGACGCCAGCCCACCCTGACACAGAGTACAGAAAAAGGCTATTTTTCTATGGTTATGCAAGCACTGGTGGATCAATGAGGACACTTCACTGCTATCAATGTGGACTGGTCAGAGAAGATGCATGACACTCACATTTAAGAACTCAGGACTGTTCAGAGAGCTACAAGCAGGGACATTCTTTCCCAACTGGTGGATTACCATTGGTGATACTGAAATACCAATAGTGACCAAGCCTACCCCTTGCTCCTCTGGCTGATGAAGCCATACACCAGCCACTAGATAGCTCCGAAATTCAACTACAAGCTCAGCAAGTGCAGAATGACTGTTGAATGTGCTTTTGGTAGATTGAAGAGATGGTGGTGGTGTTTACTCACTAGACTGGATCTCAGTGAGAAAAATATTGTTATGGTTATAGCTCCTTGTTGCATCCTGCACAATATCTGAGAGGCAAAGGAGTACAAGCTGCCACAAGGATGAAGGGCAAAGGTGGAAAGCTGTCTGCTGAGTTTGAACAGCCAGACACGAGGGCCATTACTAGAGCCCAGTGTGGAGCTATGCAGTTGACAGAGGCTTTGAAAGAGCACTTTAACAGTCAGCAACAGTAGTGTTCTCTATTGGTGTGTTCTCTGGGCCTGAAATTTTGGGTGCTGCTAAGAACTGTACAGCACTTGCCATACATTTATAAATACGACTGGGGTGCTCCTGAGCCTATGAATTACAGTAGAACCTCAGAGTTATGAACACGAGTTACGAACCAACCGGTCAACTATACACCTCATTTGGAACCAGAAGTACGCAATCAGGCAGCTGACAACAAAAAAACAGCAATTACAGTACAGTACAGTACTGTGTTAAACATAAATGACTAAAAAAAAATAAAGGGAAAGTTTAAAAAAAGGTTTGACAAGGTAAGGAAACTGTTTCTGTGCTGGTTTCATTTAAATTAAGATGTTAAAAAACAGCGTTTTTCTTCTGCATAGTAAAGTTCAAAGCTTCAAAGTATTAAGTCAGTGTTCAGTTGTAAACTTTTGAAAGAACAACAAAGTTTTGTTCAGCGTTACGAACAACCTTCATTCCCAAGCTGTTCGTATCTCTGAGGTTCTACGGTATTGCAAATCTTTTCTTACCTGCATCCCTCTCATTTTCTGGAACCGTGCTATTGTGTCACTGATGGTATAGACACGAACATGGCCCATGTGCAGCTTTCCAGAAGGGTATGGGAACATTGAAAGCACATAAAACTTTTGTCTTGATTTCTAGGAAGAATAAAAAAAGTTAAACCCAAGTAGGTTAGCATTTAATTTTGAAAAAATAAATCAATAAGCAGTCTATAGGCTACACAATCTCTAAAACTCCTATTAAATAAAACAAAGTCATGTTACAGCAGGGCAAAAATAGGGTTTCAATCAAAAATATCCAAGTTAAGTTTGCTGGGAATATAAACTGGCAGGGCTCCAAACTTCAATTGGGTTGTATCAATTTATATTAACAGAGAATTTGGAACCTAGTGTTTTATCTCAAAAGTTAACTGCAAACATTCGTGGGGTTTTTGCATATATCTGTTTTTACAGAAGATTCTTTTACAAGATAACAAAAGAGGGGGGGGAAAAAGATATGACTGTTAATTTAAAACTGTAATTTGTGCTATATTTTTAAACAGTCAGGTCAGAATTGCCCCAGATTTTAAGTTTCATAAAAATCCAAACCCAGAGTAACAGAAGTGTTTTAATTATTTTTTTTAAAACGGTTTTAAAAAGCAAATGAACATGCCTCTAGAGTGTCTACAACCCAATTACTAAACCACTGAGCTACTGCATGAGAATGTGAAAAGTTAAGGTGACTAAAAACTGACTACAAACTAAAGTGAAATTGATCACTATATTCCTATTGCAAAAACTAAAAATACAAAAAGGAGCCTAAAGAGTGAACAGTAAGTGAAAATACTTAAATTCTAATTTTTTAAAATAAAGTAATATTTGTAACATTATGATTTTTTTTATTTGCAACTTTAATCTTCCCTATAAATCGTTCACAATCTAATTTTGGTCACTATATAGATGATTATATCCGTTGTTCAACAATTTACATGCTGGTCCATTATTCTTTACATGCTGGTGTTACAAAAATACTATGATCGCTTTTAAAAAAATACAGTAGAACCTCGGAGTTACAAACACCTTGGGAATGGAAGTCGTTCATAAGTCTGAAATATTCGTAACTCTGAACAAAATGTTATGGTTGTTCTTTCTAAAGTTTATAACTAAACTGTGACTTAATACAGCTTTGAAACTTTACTATGCAGAAGAAAAATGTTGCTTTCTTTTTTTAGTAGTTTATGTTTAACACAGTTCTGTACTATATTTAACTTTTTTTTTTTGAGGGGGTCTCTGCTGCTATCTAATTCCATACTTCCAGTTCCAAATGAGGTGTGTAGTTGACTGGTCAGTTCGTAACTCTGGTGTTTGTATTTAAACCAATTCTTTCCCTGGCACACACGCACAATTCTCATCTTATTTTTTTCCCTTCTCCATGCAAGTCAGGTCACCTCTCTATCTTTGTGACAATATAATGACTTCTATTTTCTGCCTGAAGAAGGACAGGTAGGGGGAGAAGAGAAGCAAATGAGAAGGAAGAATGAGAGTTTATAGGTATGTGACTGAACATAGATAAGCGTGAAAAAGAAACATGGAATTGTATTAGAGACAGAGTATACTAAAATTGTTTTTCAAAGATCTTAACAGTGTGGAGGGTATTTTTTTTTTAAGACATTCATTGTTTCTGGGATGCTTTCAATTATAGAATACTCTGAGAAACAAGCTTCCCTAAATATAAATTTAACATGCCACATTAGTGGGACAACAGATTTAGCAGTTGGTCAGTGAAGCCAAACTGCTCTTTGAAAACTGATTCCTTACAAAGTTTATAATCTCAAAGAGTTTTTTCCATATTTTTAAGTATTCTGGGAAAGTGATTTACTTTAAAAATGGGTCTCACCCATGAGGGAGCATCAGGTATTTCCCAATCACTCAGCTATGGAAAATACGGTCTTAGCTTCCTAAACCATTCTGCTCACAATCTAGGATTGGTTCTTACCAGTATTTTTTAAGTGCTTTGTCCAAGCCAGTTTAAAAACAAACAAACAAACAATAGACGTTTCCGCCCTTTCCTTTGGGTGATTATTTCACAGCAGAATAGATAGCACTTTTAAGAAAACCTCTCTCATAGTCAACCTAAAATATACTCATTTGATTTTACCTTGTATTAGTACCACCCTAAGCAATTCCTCTCTCTGTTTAGGGCTGTTCTACACTGAAAACTTACATTGACATAGCTACATCTCTCAGTGTTGCGAAAAAAACCCACCCCTGAGACACACAACTATGCCGATCTAACCCCCGGTGTAGACAGCATTAGGTCGACAATTCTTCTGTCGACCTAGCTACTGCCACTCAGGGAGGTGGATTAACTACAGCAACATCAGAATTGCTCCCTTCACTGTAGGGAGTGTCTACACTGAAGCACTACTGTGGAATTTTATGCATAGACATAGAAGATTGCAAACACTGAGGCTAACTGTTGCATTCAGTTACCAAAGTCACCTTTCAGCTCCAATCCATACACACATGCACCCACCTTTATATATGTGAGTAGTCCCAGTGAAATTAACAGAACTACTTGTGTATATAAAATTAAGCACATGCTGTAGGAATTACAAGAATCAGGGCCTTAGTCATCGTTTTACCAACGTGTACACATTTAAGTCCTAACCTAGAAATCCGATCACCATGGGTGAACCCCTGTTCCTGAGTAGAGTCCCTCTAAAGTCAATGAAAGTCTCTTTTGCATGGGAGAACTCCTGCACTCATGTTCTCGGATTGTAGAATCGAACCTTAGTTTTTAAATCTTTCCTCATACGAATTCTGCAAGCCCTGAAATTACTTGTGTTGTTTTTCTCAGATTTCCCTCCAATCTATTGGCATCTTTATGGTACTGAGAAGTTTCCCCTCAAAAAAAAAAAGGGGGGGCTTTTTTGGTCATTGTGTGACATGACTCTCTGCCCACAGTCACCTCTTATTCTCATCAGCTTTACTACTGTACAAATATTTATTACTCGCCCCTCCTCTGTAAAATTAATCCTTGAAGTGATGAAAAACCAACTTCATAAAGCCTAGAATAACATCTGTATATATATAAATAAATCTGAACATGAATAGTTTGAATACACATATTTAGACTTATAATATGAGTAACTATTTATTAAGAAGTTGGGGAAAGAGATTTGTTGTATGAATCACCACATTTATTGCTTTTTCTTGTCCATGACCAGGAAAGCTGGGTTCTCAATGTCCTTCTAATTGCTGGTCATTTTAAGACATCCATTTTTCTTTCTTATAGCTTTCTTTCAAGAGTGATTTATTTGTATTTATCTGTTGGTATCCTATTGCTTCCATTACACCGCACCACAGGAAGTTTTTATTGCGACTAGCATGAAAGAAATATTTTAAAAAATCCAAACAAATATTTTTGGTTTTACTGCCAGTAAATATCTTATTTAGAAGAAAGCTATTAAATGGGAGCCATACGTTTATAAATTCTTTTGTCTGTTGTTAACCATATTGTTTCCTTATTCACTTTTCTTATTATAACTTTTTCAAATAGTCTATTACAGGATATATTTTTGCTAAGTAAGGGATAATATAGATGTTTTAAACAGTGTTAAGTACTCCAGACGGATGCTTTCAAAAATATTTCACCTTGAGAAAAAAAATCAAATATGAATTTTTCAAGTTTCTCAAAACGCTTACATCTGTTTCTGAAGTTTTGCAAAACTGTTCCTTCATTCTTGGAAGCCACCACTTCTCAACTTTCTTTCTTGTTTCCAATCCATAGTCTCTTTCCCACTTCCCTGTCTCACTGTAAATAGATCTGATCCATCCTGGAATCAATCTCCTTTGCCATTTAATTAAGTCATTTAGCTGCCTTTTCAGACATGAGGAACAAACTCCAAATCTCTGCCAAGCAGACTGCATGTTTTAGAATACAATGGCTGTTCTGAAAAATACAAAAACATAATTTTTAATCTAAGGTCAAGCAATGAATACTACAGTAGAAATCTGTATGACAATTCTGTTGTAATGAAACATACTTTAAGCACAGTTTAAACAATATTTGTTTATTTCAGATGGTACTTGCATTCTATTTCTAGTGTGGGTTGTTAAAGCACTCAATTTTAAAGAACTCGCTCTAGTTTGGTAGTATTAGATTATTTCCTAAAGGGATGAAATCTTTTTACAATCTCCCAGAAAAGTCAGTATCAACCCCCTTGAGATTACAGACATTTGAACTAACAGAATTTGGAAAAGGCTATTAAAATTCTTTAATAGTTATTTGGGATGAGGACAGGGGAAGGTGGGAGTTGCAAAACAATCTCAAATATAGTCAATTAGTTTGTAACTGCTAAAAAGCCATGGGGGGAGGACTATGGTTACTAGATTTCAGATTGACATTCGCCTCTGGTTACTCCCCTGCATAGGATTAGATGGAAAACTCACTACTAAACTCTTCAGTTTCAGATGTGGTTCAACAAGTCAAGACAGAGATAATAATGATGAGCCCCAAATTATGGAAACTTCTCTTCACACACTTTTGCAGGTCTCAATCCAGTTATTACAAAAATAAGTCAGAGATGGTAAAGACCTATTAGTCCATCTCTCTGACAACGTAGGATTGTTCCCAATAGCATTGTTGCTAGTGCTAGCAACTTTTCTTACTTCTATTAGGAGAATATTACACAGCCTTTAAAATAAATAAAGTGTCTCACTGGTAGGAAGATTTTCCTGAGATTCATCCTAAATTTCCCTTTTTAATCTCATCCCATTACTCCTGTTGATATCCCTTGCACCATGCCAATTCTTCTCCATCCTTAGGCCTAGTCTGCCCTTGAAAGTTGTAGTGGTATAACATTTCAGTTAGAGGTATAATTTTTGTATATAGAAAATGGCTAGGGAGCACTGGACTCAAGAGATCTGGGTTCTCCTGACCTTCTGGATGACTTTGGACATATCATTTCACTTTATTATGCCGGTTTCCTCATCTATACAATGGGTATAATGATACTGACTTCTTTTGTAAAGCGCTATATAAAAGCCAGGTGGTATATTACCACCACCTCATTCCACAATGTGATGTCTCTATCTATGCAGCTCAAAACTACACTGGCCATTTTTGCTGCTCTGTTGTACTGCAAACTATTTTCTCCTCTCATCCCCCAGGGTGGTGTTCTTCAGCATTACTGCTTCACAAGTTTCTTCTTCCCACTGAACCTATTGCAGTTGAATCCGTCACTCAGAAGAGACAAAACCATTTGTGTGGAATGAATGGAATCAAGACCCTAAAAGATATAATTTACAGTGGGGTCTCTAAATCTTTAATTGGGCTAAAAACAGAAGTTCCCCCCAACTGAATAACTTTATTGCAGTGTAATACAAATAATAACAATTAATAAATCATTGAAACAGTCATTTTCTCTTTATTCAATTCTGAACAAAAAAGGATAAAACCTTGTGAAGCCACTCTCGGGTGTGCACTGATGTGGGAGAGCACATTGTACTGAGTGGCCAGCTTGGGAGAGAGGAGTTAGCTACACACCAGTGTTTGTCACCAGTGTGGTGACGGAGGGGGATGTGGGATGCTTTACAGAGGAAGTAGTTATAAGTGGTTCTACATTAGGATGGGGGCTTGGGCATGCTTTTGGTGGTAGTTAAGGGGGTTCTAAGCTAGGATTGGGGGTTATAGGTGGAAGGTTCTAGAATGGGGATGCTTTGTGGAGGAGGAGTTATGGGGATTCTAGGTTGGGGTAGGAGTTCTGGGAGAAGGACACTCTGCAAGGTAGTTATGGGAGTTCTAGGCTAGGAGATGCTTTATAGAGGAATAGTTATGGGGGTTTTAGTTTAGGGGAGGAATAGTTATGGGGTTCTAGGTTAGAGTGGCAGTGCTGAGGTTAGATGCTTTGGGGAAGGGGTACTTGGGGGGGTCTAGGTTATGGGTGGGGGTGCTTTGGACAGAGGGTGCTTGGTGGGGGAGGAGTATTCGCGGCACAGTGCTAGACAGGGAGTTGCTACAGGCTGGGGGATGGTTTGGGCAGGGAGCCATTATCGGGGGGGGAACAGGGTGCTCAGGGACGGTTGGGGCCGTTACGGGGAAGGTCGCGTAAGGGGCGGTATGGACTCGGGGCCGTTATGCCAAATGAGGGGGGTCGTCGCGAGCCACGTCTGAGCGCGGGGGCGAGAGGGAGAAGGGAAGGATCGTGTTACCTGCGCGCGAGCCCGGGCTGCTAGCGTCCGCCCCCCTCACGCGCTCCGGCTGACTTCCGCTTTCGCGCTGGGCGCCGCCATGTCTTTACCGCCCCCAACGCAGCTCGCCCCGCCCCCCGGGAGGAGGGGCCATGGGGAAGGGGCGGGGTCCTGGGGTCCCTCTGGCGGCACGGGCGGGTGGTTGGGTTCCCACGTGGCCTCTCCAGCCACAGCTTCCTGCGGCAGAACTCCGAGCCCGCTGCTGTGCGCCGGCCGCCTCCCTCCCCACGTGCCCGGATCCCCTGATTCCGTTGGAGCACCGGCCGGGGCCCTGCCCAGGCTGTGCCCGGGGGGGGCGAGGCTGCCTGGCCCCAGGTGCCTCACTCGCTGGCAGCCGCGCCGCGCCCCACCGCAGCTAGTGCCGAGTATGAACCTGCAGCCTAACCCGCGGCACCGTCCCACGGGCTGCTCCGGGCTTGCCTGGGCGGGAAGCTCAGTGCCCGCAGGTCGCTCCGGAGGTGTAACGTCTAGAGACACTGAGCCCTCGCAGAACAAGGCTTGCATCCGTGCGACTGGAGCGTGGCGTGTTTGTTCTCACCCCCCGTGCAAATCCCCCTCGTCGCGCATCACTGGGGAGGGGTGTGGGACTGGAGCAAAAAAAATCTTACAAGACCGGCCCTCAGCCAAATGCGTTTGATGTTTAATGGTCAAACCCAACTACTAAAAAAAACCCTGATCCTTAGTTTGTACTTGTATTTATTTTCTAAAAATAAATGCTGGGGCCTCGTAGATCGGGGGGAACGTGGAGAAAGCACAGCACTTAAAAGCCATGCGCCCAGCCTCTTACCCATGCAGGGACAGAACGCTTAAATAAAATAAGATCCAGCCTCAGCCTTCACCCAAACCTTTACCCACAAAGTTGGCTAGAGGTTTTGAATCCAAAACCTAGTTGTGAGAGAGATTGCAGGAAACAGCCCTATCTTTGGGAGCTCTTACTGAGTGAAGTTTGAATAACTGTGGAGTCAGTTGTCTCATAAATGCAAATTTTGTGTATTAATGTGGAATTGTACATAACCTCTCTCAAGGAGTTATGTGGCCAAACTAAATCCTGGGAAGTGTTATGAGCATCAAACGAGCATCAAACTATTTTAAACAATGTGCCAGACAAGGAATTTTTGAGACAATGAAGCAGGTTTCCTATGAAATAGTTGGGGTGAGGTAAATGCAAATTTCCACTTCTAGACCCAGCCTTCTGAAGGAGAGAACCATTGTCTGACTGATTATCTATTCAGTCTCTGGATATCAAAAACCCTAGCTGTATAATGGAAAAGTTAACATATGCATATAACTTCTTGTTCTGAGCAAAAGCTGTTAGGAACTTGTGACCACAGAAAAACCTCTTGGTAGGGTTTGAAGGACTGAATCCTACCAGAGCCCAAGACTGGAGCTGGGGTGATCTCTAATAAGCTTATTAGTATGTGTGTATGTTCTTTTATTGTTTTTAATATGTTGTTGCCATAATACTTTTTACCTTAGGAATAAATGTGCTTGCTTAGAAAGGGTTGTGTGGTAACTTATGGCTGTGGACAATTATGTTGTTACTTTGAATTGTAAGCAAAGTACAGATGCTGGCCTACTTAGGCTGGCTTGCTTGGGAACTTGTGTAGGAAGATGTGACACAGAGGTCCATTGGTGCCAACTGGCAAAGGGTTTACTGTTCTTACAAGCAACTCCTACACCCAATATACCACTTTCATGGTATTTATCCATAAAGGATAGCATGTGAGATCTCTGCTGAAAGCTTGTAACTTATTGTGAGATGTGTGTACAGATAATATTTAAAGGATAGTGTAACTATATAGAAAATTACGCCCTTACGGTCTTGGAGTGAAAGAGAGTCACCAGGGAATCATATGTCTTGGTGATGGCGTATTCAAACAGGAGGGAGTTACCACCACCCCGGCTAGCTGATTACATAATGTATTACTCAATTGTCCACTATTTCATCAACCCAGAAAAGTCAATGGAAAACCATCAAAGACAAAGCATAAGCATTGAAACTACTTGGAAGTGAAAAGGGGTCACCCTGTCTGTGAATAAAGACAAAAGACTGATTGACTATATCACACAATGGAGAAAGACACTGCATCCATTCCTCCTGGGGGAATTCTGCGCCACTGCACACGTGCAGCATTAATCTCTCGTGTAGAATCTTTTTTCTCTGCAGAAAATATATTCTGCTGGAGAGATGCTGCAATTACATCTTTCACCCATCAGGGGCTGCTGTGGTACCAGAAGAGAGCAGCTGCTCCCAGGCGGGAGCAGCCCCAGAAACGGATAGGGAAGAGAAAAGGCTGTGTTCCTCACAGTGCCCTGCCCGTGGGCCAGATCAGGAGGCACAGGATATGGGGGGACCGACTGCATGGAGCTGCTGGGGAGGGTCACAGACTGGGCTTCAGAAGGCCTAGTGGGGGGACAGACTGGGCAGGGGCTGAGTGGAGGATGCAGGGATACATAGGGATGGGGAGAAGGGGTGGCTGAGTGGGGTGCAGGGGCACATGGGGACGAGCAGGTGGCTGGGGAGGATGCAGGAACACATGGGGAGGAGCGATAGCTGAGGGGGGTGGGGTGCAAGAACACATGGGACGGGGGCAGATGTGCCAGACTGAATGAGAGAGGCTAGGGGTCAAGTAGGATCTGCCTGGGGGAGACTCCCTAACAATCCCTCCCTGCAAAAAACTCTGTTCCATACTTCTCCCA